CCTTCACTTTCCTCCTAGGCAGACCTGATGGTTGCCCCGGACGTCACCCCTCTCCCGCCACCACCCTCCCTCCTGTGCCTCACTGCCCCTCAGACTCTCCAGCCTGGCCTCCATCACACCTGTTCTTCCCGTGCTGACAGCAGCTGGAGGGAGCCATGCAGCCCTGCACCCAGAAGGCTGCCACTTCGCCGGGTGGCCTCCAACCAAAGCTGGGCCCTTAGAGCCCCCCGGGAGCCTTCTGCTTGTGATGACTTCGCACTCTCTGCAGAAGGATTTCCAAACTGTCTCTGCTGCCCATAAGCATGTGTTGCTGCCCCGCCCACCCAGCCACCCCACACATGCTGGTAAGGTGAATGGCATTTGATCTTCTCACCAGTATTTCTCAAAGAGCCAACCAGAGTCATCAAATAGGAAGTCCATTGTTTTGAAGAGTTTACCTAAACTGGGGTGGGGGAGAGAATGCGACCAAGAGGAAAATGTACCCCAGGAGGGTGAGGGTGCCTCTGACTTGCTTGTCCAGCATGGCTCAAGGGCCCCCAGGCAGGAGTACGGACAGCCCCGTCCTAGCTGGCAGGCCCACAGGAGGAATCGCCACTCCTCTTCAGCTGATCCATTTAGACCCAGGATGACTGTAGTCAGACTTAGTTTTCCACTGAGATTTAATTAACAATTTCTTTCTGGGCTGTGTTCCCTGGGGCATATTGAGATTCAGGCTCAATGGCTAACTTGTTTGGGGTTTTTCAGCTCTACCAATTTCTCTCAACTTTGGATACAGCAGAGCCACAGAAATGCATAGGGAAAATCGAGTGCATGAGAAAGTGCCAGCATTTGCGTCCTTGAACAGAAAGTCTCTGTACGTACAGGGCCTTGGGGAGTAGAGGTCTCTTCCCCCCTCCTCAGGGGATGACGGCTGCATGAGTTCGGCTCTGCCCTTGTTGGTCGAAGGCTGTCTTCACCTTCCTGCAAGGGGCAGTGGACCAAGCTAATGGGTATTTGCTGTGAGTTTGCCAAGCGCACATGCATTCACTTAAAGCAAGGTGGGACCCTGCCAGTTTGCTCGGAGTCACTGCCAGCTGGCAGCATAACCGAGTCCTCCCCGAGGAGAGCCGGAGGGAGCAGGGAGCACGGCCCGGAGTTCTGGCCTGACAAGTGAGCAGTAGCTTTCATGTACAGAGGGCTTGAGCAGAAATGGGCCAGGACTGCCTGGCCCTTCACAATTCACCTCAGGGTTTGCTGCCAGGGACCACGGATTTTTCCAGGGAAAACCTTCACATTTGTTTGGGTACTTTTAAAGTCCCGGTGCTCAGTGTGTGCGCTCATCAGAAGGAGCTGGCAGAGGCGCTTTCTCCTTTTCGCACTTTGCCTGCTCAAGCCTGTGACCCGGTGTTCTCCTGAAGCCTCCGCCACACAGTCTCTTTAGTCTCCTTCCTGTACAATGGCTTCCTCTGGACTATTCCCTGGACGTTTGTATGTCAACAGATTGGAATGTTTCTCTCCTCCCTGGGAAAAGCTCCTTGGGTCTTAGTAAACTCAGAGGTGGAGGCATCCATAAGCAGCAGGGAGCTGGCCTCAAACTGCCTCTTATTATAGCTTCCTAAGAGGACTGGAGAGGAAATTAGAGCATCTTGCAGTGTTCAGGGAGGGAGGGGAGCCTCAAACAAGTCAGTCACCTTCTCAAAGCTATACATTTTAGCAGATGGCAAAGAGAATGTGACAGTTTTGTTTTATTTTGAGCTGAGTGGTATTATAAGGTTATACTTGGCCGCATTAGAGACAAATATGTCCTGAGAACTCTGAGACATCAGGCCTTGCCAGTCCGTAAGACTGATTTTATCCAAAGCAGAAGAGTTCCTAATCGGGAAGCTCCAATACTGCATACGTGACATCCCATTGTTAGAAAAGAACTCTCAGTTCTGTGATGCAGGGAAGTGAGCTAAACCAAAGTCAAGAAAGCAGGCAGGGAAGTTTATTACGCTCTGTAATAGAGTGGGCCTAGACCTAGTGTCAGGCCCTGAAAATTCTGGAAGTTTCTTTTTATGGGGTTTGCAATGGCTTTTTGGAGTGGTATTGTTATGCAAACAAGTGTTGATTGACAGGCTGCCAATAATGTAAGCTAATCACTACTGTGCATGCTCTTTCCCAGAATTCTCTCTGCCAACCAAGGGGCGGGCAAAACTGCAATGCAGATTTATTTTAATGATTTTATAATGAGGAAAGGTTACTTTTAGACAGCCCAGGAACATGCCCAATTGGACTCTAGCTTGTGGAATGTCTCTGTGGTTTTACTCCTCCTGCTAAGGATTTTCTCCATGGTGGACACTGTCTGTAGTCTCAACTTGCTAGTCTCAATTTCTCTGTGGTCACCCCACCCTCTCCTCTCACTTATCTCTGGCTTCCTAACTAACACCATCATTACAGCCACTCTTTTCATTTAGTGGGTTGTCCCCAATTACAGTTAAAATATCTTTTGTGTATAATCCTTTTGACATTTACTTCTACACATAAATTAATGTACTGAGTCTTATTTAGTATAACAGCAAATTGAGGGTTGATTTACTTTCCTTCATGCATTTATTATTTCAATCAACAGGCATTTAATCTTTCGCCAGGACAAGATACTGTGTGGGTTGAAAGAGGAATAAGACCTGTTGCTCTGCCATGAATGAGCTTGCAATTTAGAAGGGGACCCAAGTCACAGTGAGATAGCATATGGTAGGTAAGTGTCACAAGAATAACACAAATAGAAGAAAAGTATCTGTTGAGAACAGGAACAAGGGAGGAGTTTGGGAGCGCACACTGGGGAGGCAACGTGTGGGGTGTGTACGTGTAGTCAGGATTTCAGCTGGAACTGCTGGTGGTATGGAGGGTGCAAGGTGGAGCGACGAGAGAGGAGGGCGTTCCCGTGGGAGGAAGAGCCGTAGCGCGGCATCGGGGCCGGGTGGGAAGCTGCCATGTTTGTTGGCGGAATTCGAATTACTCAGTTTGACTAAAATGAAGGGTGTGTGTGTGAAGGAGTAAGAAGAAAGAAAGATTAAAAAGGTCTTCTGAGACCTATTTTTAGAAGACCTTCATCACTGGGTCAAAGAGTACGGTGTCCTACCTGTTAGGCAGTGGGGAGCCTTTGAAAATTCATGGACAAGAGAGTGCCATGACTTAAACTGTGCTGGAGGAAGACTGACCTGGCGGAAACTATGGATTGGAGGTTCTTGGAGGATGTATCTGGAAGTAATCAAGGCCTGAGCTGGGATGATAGTGTTGGGAACTAAAAGGAAAGAACAGATTCATGCCATGAGCTCTTGGCTACAGAGTAGCTGTGGCATATGAGGGAGAGGAATATGTTACAGGTGGTTGAACTGTCGAGTCTGGGTAAGTGGGAAAGTAGGGAAAAGAAAAAGGAAGGCCAGGCGAAAGAACTGGCTGAGGGTTTAGATACACTGCCTGGAGGTAGCAGCTGGTCCCCCAGGCCCAGCAGGCTCTCATCAGGGGGAGAATGTGGGGCGAGCATGGCGGGCACTGGATGGGAGCACCAGTGGGGGAGCATGGCCACGGGAAGGTGCAAGGGCCTGAAGCTTGGCTTCATTCAAAAATATCTTTACTCTTCACTGGGTCCTTTTCTAGGTGCTGCAAATCAGGATGAATAAGGACAAGCTGCGGATCTTTTCCTTGTTATGGGGCAATGAATTAGGCCAAATTCTTAGAGCCCTAAAACGTAGTTTTCATTCTCAATTTGGAACAATTCAGCATCTGTTCCATCTCAGTCTGAAGGAAGGAGTTCCAGCTCTTCAAGCAATGCTGGACTCTTCCCAGTCACACCCAGCACCTGCCCACCCACTGACACCATCCATCCCCCTAGTAACTACTGTGACAGTGATTACTGTTCTGACTTCTGCCACCACAGATTCATTGTTTATTCTTGAAATTTAATACAAATGTAATCACATGTTTTTGAGGCTTCTTTTTGCTCAATATTGTGTTGAATAGTCTAGTTGCTTCTTTTTCTTATGCTTTCGTTTCTGGTTATTCCATTACACAAATACCCCACATTCTATTTATCTTCCTACTGCTGATGGACATGTGGGTTGTGTTCAGCTTTTGGCTAGTAAGAGCATATTTGTTATGAACATCTGTATCCATGATATTTAATGAACAAATGTACTCATTTCTCTTCAGTGTTTACCTAGCCATGGAATTGCTGGGCATTTGTTAACTATTATATTAAGCACTTACTTTTTATCAGGCTCTGTGTTGGGTGCTTGACATTGAATGTCAACAAAACATGATTTCTGCTCTTCTCAACATTACCAGCTAGTGGGAGAAGTTGCCATAAGCAAATAGTCACTCTAAATGATGGAGGGAGTAAGTATTCTGAAAAAAAAAAAAGGAATATGTAAGATACACTTTCAGCTTTCTCGGCATCTAAAGGGCAGCATGTAATCTCCACGAAGAACCACCCTGGACCATCAACACACTCCCTGGGGATGAGTGATAATACCCCAGGGCTCCGAGGGCAGCCTAGAGGTGGGTTTCCAGTGGCGCCCACATGGGTGGAGGGAAGTGAATTCAGCTAGGTGGCCTGGGGGCCCTGCAGACTCCGTCCTCAGCTGCATTTCTGCCTTGATCTCTGGTTCTGGAGGTGATGGAGATAATTGAGAGCTTATGGCCCACTCCCCAAAGACTGGTTTTAGCACATATGCAACCTGCATTTTAATATTATTTCTTCTGACTGGAAGCATTTGGAAATAGTCCTTGCCCCTGGTTTTAAAAGGTGGCATTATTTTATGAACATTTAGACACTGATTAATAAAATTCCGAACCCATTAACTAATGGGGGAAATGCCAAACTTTTTTGTGTATCCAAGAGAGTAAGTGTAATAAAAACTATCCCAAAAGGTAAGTTAAATTATATATAGCCCTTGCATGTTTTCTCCCCCTGGCCCCACCAGATGTTTTAAAATGCAGGACACAGGGATTTTTTTTTTTTCTGTTTTCTCCAGGGAAAGAAGAGAGAAAACTTGGCTCAGATCTGCTAACCTTCAGAAGGGGAAAAAAAAAAGCTATGAAGGGAGAAGGTGCTGGGAATGCACACACCGCTGGTTCATACACGTGGAGGCAAGGGAACAAAAACCATGGGTTTGTTTTTTTTTTAACAATTTTTTTCTTGTTTATCCCTCCTCCCCTTCTGAGATCACCCTTAGGAACTTTTCTCTGATTTTGAAAGCCAGACGCTGAGTCTGTTCAGTTCTCTTCAGCTGTGTGAGCCTGAGAGGTGGCCGCTGTGCTTCTGCTGGGCTGCAGGCCGGCCGGAGGTCTCTGCACAAGGCCCGGGATAAGGAGTCCCCACAGGCAGGGTGGTGTTGCGGGCGGATGTTGGTCACTGAGCTGTGGTGTCCTCACCTCTGCCCAAACAACCCTCGCAGGCCCTAAGTTTCTCCTGTAAGCTGAGAACTTGATACCTCCACCCTTCCTCAGCCCCATCTAAGTTTTCTGAGTCTGAAAGGAAATAAAACAACTAAGAAGTTGAGGGATAGGATGTGTCAGCTACTTCAGGGCCCTGCGGCCGCACTGTCTGCTTTTGCTATGATGAGCCATGGAAATGTTGACAACCTGGCGGCCACTCCTCCGGCCTCGGCTTGCAACCAGCTTCCACGGAGGCCTACCCTCTCCTTTCTGCCGCTTCCCCGTTTTCAGCTGAACATGTCATTTGGAATGAAACGCTGAGGAAGTCAGGAATTCTCCAAAGGTGTACCGGACCCTTAAAACTGTCCCCTAAGAAGAGTGTTCTCAAGAAGCATTCCCTCACGCCCTTGACTGGTACTGGACGTCGGGACGGCTCACACAAAACAGGGCAATGGGTCTGCGCATGCTGTTCCCCTGCTTCCTCCTCAGAGCTCACTCCTGGGGCTGGCGGCACCATGGCTGCCTCAGAATGGAAGCTGAGGGCACTGTGGGGAGCCAGCCTTTCCCAGAAGAAAGTCAAACCAGTCCCTCAGTTGCTGGTGTAGGAACAGTCTCTACACAGGAGGAGCGCATGGACCAACTCATATTACTCAACATTTACCTTCTCTTTGGGGGTTTCCTATTCTGACCGCCCATCAGAATTACCTGGGAGGCTAAATAATTATAAAATCACATAAATAGCAAAAGCAGGTGATGAACTTGGAGGTGACTGGTGAGATGATCTTGCTAAAGTCAGTCAGCCACCAATATCTGTGCATTGGCCATTTTTTAATAGAGAAGGATAGTGTTATGGATTTTCTTAGAAGTGCTCTCCCTTGGAGCTAGAAAAACCCAGGATTCTAACATGGAGTCCTGGATAGGCAGAGAAATAGGCAGAGAAGAGGAGATAAAGACAGGGGGAGAGGCTGGGGTGAGAGGGGGCAGTGAAGAAGCAAAAACATCTAGACTCCAGTTGGGCTCTCCTGTAGTTAACTTTGTGACCTTGGGAGAACCATTTAGTCTCTCTGGGCTGGGGAAAAATGAGGAGGATAATACAGCATGTTGCTTAAGCAGGTGGGCTTTGAGGTCACACTCTGGAGTCATCTCAACTCTACCATTTATCAGCTGTGTGACCCTTGGCAAGGACATAACCTCTCTGAGTTCCAGTTTTCTCATCCATAAAATGGAGACAACAGAGTTGTAATGAGATTTAGACACAATAGTAATATAAAGCACTCAGCAAAGTACTTAGTACATATTACGTGTTCAATATTTTAGCTGTTAGTATTATCTGTCTCCAGAGTAGGCTAATGGAATGCACAGACAGTATTTTTTTGATCTCATGTATGATCAATTTATTTAAAATATAACCACTCTTCTGAAGAATACTAATATTGTACCTTAATTGTTTTAAAGCTTTTATGGGTATATGTATTAGGGGGAAGGGAAATGAGCCAGACAGTGATATGCTATTTTTCCCTATAAAAATGAAATAATATATTGTAGATTTTAGAGTTTAACACTTTCTACACATTTTGAAGTGTTATTCTCCTTCCACAGTCTCCTGTTTTTGTTCTATATATTTGTCTTAGTCAGAGCAAGCTAGGTTTTGCCCCATGAACAACCCAGATATCTCATCGGCTTAACCCAGCACATGTTTATTTCTCATAAACGTGGTATGTCCTTTGTGCATTGGCATCTCAGTCTCTCAGAAAGACAAGAAGGAGGCTCCGTTTTGTGCTTCCGTGATTGCCACAGGTGAGGGAGGGGAACGTGGCGATTGATGCACCTCTGCTTAAGCTGCCACTGAAGTAACACCAGGGTGGTTCTCTGAAGCTGAAGTGCTTTATTAAGTTCTGAGCTTTCCTTTTCCAGATATGGCTTTATAGTCACCCTTTTCTTGATTTTGATTTTGGAGAACATGTAGTAAGAGTAATAACCTATTGGTGATTCTTTTCCATCGTCAAACCAGGCCCCCACCTTACTCTCACAAGGGATTTTGGCACCAGCCAGGGGAATATGTATTTTATTTTCTGAAATAAAATTCCTGGTTTTCTGAAAGCCTCAAGAAAAAAATGTCTGAAAGATTTCATACTCTGTCATCACCTACAACAAAAACTTGAATATAGGTGGCATCTGATTGTGTCCCACACTCAACCCAAACTACAAATGTGTGGTAGCCAAGGCAAGTGAGATGCTTCTCAAGGTCTGACTTTCATCCTATATCCATAGTCATAGGGCTGTTGAATAATGGGTCACTGTGATGGGAGAATGTATAGCAGCAAAGTATATGGGCCATTCATTTACTGAGCACCTAGTATGTGCTGGGCATTGGGCCAGTTTTTCTAAGTCACCATAGTGATTCAGCTGGACTATGATCTTGGCAAGGGAAAAAAGCAAGTATGGGGTTCCCCAGAAAGCAGTCTGATAACAATGTGACCATGTGACTTCTCCACCCTTGTCCTGCATTGTTCCCCAACATACCCTCTCTGCTCATGTAGGCCATCTCCTGGGAGCTCCTGGAAGGGTCCCAAACCTTCCTCCACTAAGCCTGAGTACTCCACTGCCTTCCCTCCACCGAGACTGAATACTCCTTCCCTGCTGCTCATCCAGGTCCTACTCATCTCTGGAAGTCAGCTGAAGACCCTACATCTTTTTCAGCTCTGAAGGCTCCGAACACTCACCATCTCCTTATCTATAGAAATCCTATTGAACATGTCATCTCTGCTATCTGTTAGGGCAGCTACTTGCATATGTTTTATTACTTAACAATTTATGGTGGTGGGAGGGATCAGTTTCTTGAAGAAAAGGATCTTGTTTCCTCCTGAGTTAATGGACAGAAAGTGGCTAGCCCATTGAAAGCATTCAATGGTTACATCTTGCCTATCATGTAATCTTTCAACGATAGATGCTTGATAAATACAAAATGAATAGAAGTAAACTTGACCTTGCTCTATTGCTTTCTCCTTTTTCAGGGAAGCTGGAAAGAGAAGCTGTGGTTACCTTTATCCATATGGTTTTGCCTCCTAGTCTTCTAGCCTGGACACATGAGAATTTTCAAAGCAGTCGAGGCAAATGTGAGCAAGATCAACACAGGTCAGATGATTATAACAACTCCTGGGTCTGAACAGTGGCATATGGATGCCAGGTCATCTCTTCTTTCATTTGCTACCCACTTCTTCAGGCACCTGGTGGGCCTCAGATCAGGGTTCATTTCTTTCCACTGCTAAGATATTGAGGGGATAAGGTAGATGAGAAGATGAATTCAAACAGAGTTGACTCTAAAATTAATTTATGTAAAAGGAATTTGATTTTTTCACTAAAACCTATTATAAAATGTATGTGGTTTCCACAAGGGAAAAAAGTCTTCAGTTTAATCAAAAAAACTGCAGAGACAAGGGTTGAAGTGATGTCTCAGGAGGGAGTCTTCTTGGTCTTGAATGAAAAGTGGTTTTGCAACCTATTCTTGATTCCTGGTCTGAATGCCCTGCTCCTAACCTCCCATGTGTGAGGATCTGTGGGTGCCCTAATTGTATAACTTAACTTTCTTCCTCTCTTTTTCTTTTGGATGATGAAATGTCTACTGGAGTTAGGGTGCAATAACATAATTTGTCACTGTCTAACATGCAGTGTTATGCTTGAACCTTCTGAGCAGAATAAATTGGTGTCTGACTTTATTAATGGTAAAAGTTCAGAAGAGCAGCTTTATTGAAAATGACAGATCAGCAGCACAGTATGGGAAAACACTGAATGGAAATGCCACTTGTTGAAAGAAGTTGCTTAATTTTCTGCCACTCTCTCACTGGGCCAAGCTTTCTCCTTACAGGGATCTACCTGCAGGCAGTTTAAACATCCTACACAAGAAACCTTTTTATATTTTCAACTGTTAATACACCTTACACCTTCCTCTTCATTTAAATCTGTAGTCCTTAAGGGCAGTGGACAAAATGGTCATTCTTCGTTCATGAGAGTGTTGGAATCTCTTCTTAAAAGGATCCTTAGAAAAAGACAACTATTCTGCTAAAGTTATCTTATGCCCCCTCACTCAGCCCCACCCCCAAGGTCTTAGAGAGGCTTCCAGTGGCACCTGGAGGAGGCCTGAGGGGCTCACCCTGTCCTCCTATTCCCAATCTCCTCTGCTCCTAGGCAGCTTTCCCCCAAGCTACACCTAGTCTTGGAGTGTTCCAGCCCCTCTTTCCTTCTGCCCACACTTCCTGAAACCTCCCATGCATTTGTGAGGCCTTGCCCAACTCTTTGGGAGAAGATTGGGTCTCTCTCCTGACAAGTCATTAAAGTGGTTCCTCTGGCTCTCATTTCTCCTAACCTAGTACGAATGATAATAATCCAGTCAGCTGAAGGCCAGAATAGAGCAAAAGTCAGACCTCCCCAAGCAAGCGGGAATTCTGCCAGCAGACAGCCTTCAGACGTGGACGGCAATGCTGCCTCTTTCTGAGTTCCCAGCCTGTTGGCCCACCTGGTAGACTTTGTCTTACTAGCTTCCATAACTGTGTGAGTCAATTTCTTAAAATCTCCTTCTGTATCTAGAAATAGCATACATACACATCTTACTAGTTCTGTTTTTCTGGTGAACCCTAACACCAGTATTTTTCTGATTATCCCATTTTACAGATGTGACAACTGGGGCATGGAGAAGTTAGGTCACTTGCCCAAGGTCATCAGTCCCAGTTAGTGGTACAATTGGGATTCTGTCTGACTCCCAGGTCTCTACTCTCTGCCATGAAATTAAATACATATCATTTATGCTGTGTTAAGAGTTCTTTGTTCATCAGTCAGCCTCATGTATCTTTTTTACTGGATTATTTATGTTTTCAGTTGTCAGTTTTGAGAGGACAATACTTGCTTGTTTGGCAAATGTGCCAGAATCCCAGCCTAGACTTTTGAGAGGAAGGCCTTTGGGGAAGTTGCTGACGCACGGGTGTGTTCCCTGTAAAGGCAATTCATGGTTCAGAATGTCTGCCTCACGCCCGTTTTCTTCTCCATCTCATGATCATCTTAAGACACAACTAAGATCCCATCATTTCGCCACTGGACTGAATTTTGGGCAGTATTTTAGGAGTTACATTTTGGGTTCTCTGAGTGCATATTTAAGAAGAAAAGATATTCAACACTTAAGAAGAGTTGGATCTTTAAACATTTAAATGTGCGTGCCAGTTTTCTGTAACTGTAAGGCACAGCATTAGTAGGGGTTCAAATCATCCTTGCTGTTCTGAGGCAAACAGCCGCTCCGAGGAACAGAGCCGCGCCTCTGAGTGCGAGGAGACCTGTGGCGTGGAAGCAGCATTCCCCTCTCAGCCAGGTGGCAGAGACTCACCAACTCGGGGCAGGACGGTGGAAGCTGGTTTCCTAACCTAACATCCTTCTTTGCTTCCCCTTGTGCATCCCCCTAATAGGAGGAACAGTGCTTCACATAGGCACCTGACGCAGGCGTTGTGTTTCTAAAAATCAGGGACAGCTCCATGACTTCAATAGCTCTGATGGCACCTTTGTTCTAGGAGCAGATTTCATTTTTCACAGGCACCATGTGGTTGTTTCCTCAGGCATTTTCGTTTATTTTCTGAGGTACGAGGCAGGACCAGCGGGGTAGAACGGGTGCCAAGCATGTCTGTCTGTCTGTCTGTCTGTCTGTCTGTCTGTCTGTCTGTCTGTCTGTCTGTCTGTCTGTCTGTCTGTCTGTCTGTCTGTCTGTCTGTCTGTCTGTCTGTCTGTCTGTCTGTCTGTCTGTCTGTCTGTCTGTCTGTCTGTCTGTCTGTCTGTCTGTCTGTCTGTCTGTCTGTCTGTCTGTCTGTCTGTCTGTCTGTCTGTCTGTCTGTCTGTCTGTCTGTCTGTCTGTCTGTCTGTCTGTCTGTCTGTCTCTCTCTCTCTCTCTCTCTCTCACACACACACACACACACACACACACACACGAAGCCTTCTTTAATCAGTTCACCACAGCACTATTTCCAACCTTCCAGGCTATCAGGTATGAGAGTGTTAAGGTTTTAACAGGCTTAGAGGTGACTCCAGAGTCCCCCAGCATCTCCAGTCATCTGTAATTTATGGCTGCCTCTGATTTAGTTGGTTTAGTAAATTGTACCTAAGAGGATTCTCTGTGACTTGGCAGCCTTGTGTATAGCTTCACGATTCAGCTGTGCTTTTGCCAACCATTTGGCATTTTTCCCTTGCTTTTGGATGACATTCTCAAATACTTAATTTTTCGCTTTCCTCTGGAACACACTTTATCAGACACCGTCCGTGTGCCAGGAGACGCCTCACACACTCTGTCAGGGCTAACTTTCCACAGGCTCGCACGTTTATTTCTAAATTCCTTTTAAAGTCACCACATTTCCAAATAACCAAAGGCGAAGGGCACGTTTGGACCATTTGGTTCTTGCGGCCTCTTGCTTCTCCCCACCCCCGCCTCCCTTGTCTGGATTTCAGCGGAGGGGAAATGCTTCTCGAAGCGGAGGGGTGTGGGGGGTGGTGCCTAACCAAGCCATAACATTAATGTCTATTGCAAAAATAAAAGGGCTTACTTTGTTATGAGGTATGTGAGGACATGTTTTGGCCTTACTTCATGTACTCAGTCTAACCATGCCCAAAAGATTAAATCAAGGCTATTATGGCTATAATTTATTTCTCTTTCAAGTCTGTCATCACGTGTGTAGACTTGGGATTTTGTGTTGTCCCGCTTCCAGGGGTCAGGTCCATATCTGGCAAACTCAGACGTAAGGCCATCTATGGAAAGTCCCTGAGGCAACTTGTTCATAGTTTGCACAATTTGATTTTCTAGTTGGATTTGTGACGAACTTACTACTCCCCTCCCCTTTCAATAGGTTTTAGGGAGAACTCATCTTTCCAGGACAGAACTCCCGTTTGTGTTGCTACCTCCAATCAAGACAAGGTATAATTCCTCTGTGTTATGTTTAATACACAGTGATCATGTAATCTACTAGGAAAATGTGATCTTAAGGCAAAATTTGCAGTAGAATTAGATCCTCTACTCACACCATTAATCTTCCTTTAAGGTCTAAGGAGGTATTAGTGGTTAAAATAAATCTTTTAACATTCTTGTTTATGAGTGGAGAATGATTTAGCCACCTTAACCCTTTGTGACAGGGGAATGGGAATTTAAGTTTAAGTGTGTAATATAAACTTCCCTTTACATTCCCTTCAGAATTCATGTTTTCTCCACTCCATTACACTGTGGGCCAACTGGGAGGTGTCTGAAACCCCACGCGCAGTCCACTCTGAAACCCACCCACATTCTGTGTTGCTGCCTCTTGCTTTTACCTCCTGGGGCAGAGATGCTTGATATGACTACAGTCAGTGCATACTGGTGGCTGAGGTATGAGCGCTGCATATCTAAGACCCATGATGCTTTTTGAATCTGATTATTTTTTTTCTTCTGCATCTCTTCTGTGTGGCGGGAATGGAGAAAGTGACATAAGACTATGACAAAGATCATTCAAAGATTTTTGAATAAGAAATAAGTGGAATAAGCACATTTTCTTTCTATTCAATGCCCCCAACCCCTAAGCCCATGAAGGAGCTTCTGCCGCACAATACTTATCCTTGCCTGGCTTAGCCCCTTCTCTTGCATCCATGAGCCTTCAGGGCAAGGGCCTGCACAGGGGAAGCTGACTCCAGTGGTGTTTTTCTGTGGCTACTGCAAACACATAATTATTTTCTTAAAAGTGCTCATAAACCTCTTATTTTGCTAGAAAGTATGAAATTGCTCAAAGGTTAATGGAGACAGATCAAAAGGACAGAAGTGCCAGCTTGAAAGGGCTCCTACTGGTCTGGTTAATCTGGGTCAGTTTAAGCATAATAATAAATCATGATAGTAATAGATTAAAACACATTGAATAAAAATCTATGAGTTCATACTGACACAAGTAAAAAGAAATAAGTAGGAGAATATATGTGCTAATAATTATAGAATTAAAATTAATCAAAAATAATAAAATAGAATGACATGTAATAAATATAGAAGGGATGATGGAAAATCAGCAATTGATGTGAAAACTAGTTGAGTGAAACTTTGATGAGAAACAGGGTTTTCATGATCTCAAACTTTCTCCCCACAGAGTACCTATTAATTATAAAGGACAGAATAGTTACTGTACAGTGGAGAAATCTGGTGGAGACCAGCTTATCCAAGTGATTAAAGTCAATATCACTAGTTATGGGATGAACTCATAGCAGGTGCTTCCTAAGATGGTTGACTGAGAAGGTCACAGCATTGTTCCAGGATACCTCTGTCAAAATGCCTAATCTGGATCTCATCTTGAGGAGATATCAGTCAAACCCAAATTTAGGAACAGTCTGTAAAATATCTGGCCTGTAATTTTCAAAAGTGAACCAGTCAACTGAAACAAAGTCTGGGAAATGTTACCGAATGAGAGATAAGGAGACATGATCACCAAATGCAATGTGTGTTTCTGGAGTGAATCCTGGAATGGCAAACAATTTGGGGACCTTTGAGAGACTCTGACAATGGACTGTAGATTAGGTAACAGAATTGCAAAATTGAACATCCTTATTTTGAAAATTGCACTATGGGTTTTGTAAGAGAATGTCCTTGTGCCTAAGAAATACACATGGAAGCGTTGAGGGGTAAAGGCATAGGATATCCTCAAGTTACTCTCAGACAGTTCAAAAAATAATGTACATTTGTATATATACACATACACACGTGTTCACATATATAAATATACATATGTGCATATAAATATACACATATGTATATCTTTATCATCTAATATCTCTCTATCAAAGGAGAGAGAATGATAAAGCAAATAGAATTAAAAAAATGATGACTCAGGGTAAAAGGTAAATGGGGTATACATACCTTGTACTGTTTTTATAACCTAAGTTTTAAGTCATTTTAAAATGAAAAGTTACCAAAAATACTTATGAGAATAAACATAATTAAATTTGATGTCAACGGACAACTTGAGGTGCTCACTGCTGCCCCACACTCGCTCGCTCTCTGACCTGCCGGCTGTTCCCGTGACTCGGCGCAGTGCCCAGAGCCAGGGCACAGTCTCTTCGTCTAACTGGGGATCGTTATGCTGAGACCACACACACTCCCCTGTGTAAGTAAAACAAAAGGCACCTCTTGCCCCGTGGGTCCCAGGAGCAGGGAAGAAGGTCGGAGCCCAGGGCAGGGGAAGGGTTCTCCCCGCTGCAGACAGGGCCTCACACACTGACGGCACAGGGGTGGGGGCACCCTTTGGTGGCATGCGGGCCCCTGAGGAGGGCTGCATCCAAGCTGCCCCGTCCGAAGGGGCTCCGTGAGCGTGAAGGAGGTCGCAGCATCAACAGCCGCAGTTCACAGGCTCTCCGGAAGGAGGGCCCGAGGGGCTGCTCTCAGCACCCCTAGGGGTCGTCCTGGCGAGGCGGCCATCATCAGGCAGTCACGCACGGACCCGTGACCTCGCCAGCCTGCAGATGTTATGTCTAAAACGGCCCTATTCAAACATAACTTTTGTGTCTGAATTTTAACTACTATTTTCCACAAAGGAAAAAATTCAATTAATTAATAAAAATAATAAAATTAATAAAAATTTAAATTACTTTAATTAAAACTTAGCATCTATAGGTATCAGCTAAATTAGGGGTTAATCTGGCCGTCAAAGGTGTGGATGGCAAAATGTAGCGCCAGCTTGGCCTTAGGGCCTGTGGTCGAGTATTTCCCAATTCATTGGTTATTGCTGGGCAGACACAAAATGTGAGGTCCAGTTCATTGTCAATAGGTTAACAGCTCACAGCATAATCGAGGGTGAGCATGTTATCATCTGGGGTGTGTGTCTGTGGAGCACAGACTGGTTGCCATGGTACAGAAATGAGGGCATTTCTGGGGGGCATCAAGAGGTTTTTTTAAGAGTTCTGGAAAAAGAACTAGTAAGTTTCACCTCTTGAATATACTTGACCTGTTTTTTCTAGTTTGCTTCCTTTCACAAAGGATTTGGAGTGATTTGCAATGAGAAAATCTTAGGCATCTTTATAGTAAATAAAAACCATAGGGGTTTCTTTTCATTGGGCCTTTAGTGCACAGTGAGAACTATGTTACCGTGTTTAATCCTCACTGACACCCTGAGAGAAAGAACCATTTTAGGAAGAGGATTCGAATCCTCTGTTTGTCGCTCCATCAGCATTTAACTTCGTAAACGTTCAGGGCAGCTCACCAGAAACACGTTATGAGAAGCCCATTGGTGAGCCCCAGAGATTTCTCCCACACAGTGGGATTGTGTGCACTTACCTGTGGGAGCAGTGTTGATGGAAAGCTCATGGTCTGCAGGCTTTCTGCTGCCGAATTTGTCTGCATTTAGCTGTCATATCATGGATGGACTTCAATTCTGTTTTGGCAAGAGTGATGTATTTAAACACACGAATGAGTGTTTCCTTTCTTTTCCCTTGATATGCAAACATCCCACTGCATAGTCATCAATGAAACCTGCCATTTCCAGAAACATTTTTAAATGAAGATGTCATCTTCAAATCTTGAGGGACAAACATTGTAGAAGTTAAAAACAGAAGATTTAGAGATTAAGTAACTAAATTGGAAGGAAAAAAAATCAACCTGTGTTAGTTTCCTTCCACAACCTGGGTGGCTTATAACAACAGAAACTTACTTTCTCCCAGTTCTGGAGGCTGCAAGTCCAAATACAAGGTGTCATGACGGTCACAGTCCCTTCGAGGGATCCAGCATCCTTCCTTGCCTCTCCTTGCTTCTGGTGGCTGCTGGTGATCTTTGGTGTTCCTTGGCTTGTGCACGCATCACTTGAGCAACGGCTTTGGTTTTACATGGACTTCTGCCCTGTGTGTCCATGTGTCTGCATTTCCCTCTCCCTATTAGAATATCAGTAGTTGGATCAGGGCCCACCCTTATCTAGTATGTCCTCATCTTTGTGAGATCACATCTGCATAGCTCCATTTCCAAAGGATGTCATATGCACAGGTATCAGAGGTTAGAACTGCAACATATCTTTTGGGGGGGACACAATTCAATATTATTCTATTAAATTCCAAAATTGATCTTGATAGGAGAAAGATAATCCCCCTGGGTGCTCCACCCCTGATTGGGCTCCCTACTGTGTTTATATTAATAGTATAATTGTTGGGTCATCTTAAATCTGTACTGAGATGATATATCCTTTGTCTATGCCTGTATGGTATAAGCAACTGAACATTTTCAAGTTCATTGCCAAACCCATGACTGAGCCACTGAATTGTTGATGCCATCCTTTTCGCAATAATTGAATCAAATACACTATTCAATTTGCTGCTTGGCATTCCACTTAGGGGATGGTTCAAACTCCCCATTTAGTTATTCACAACATATTAGTGTCTTCTTATAATTAGGAGTGATTATAAGAATGTTGATTAAATCTTGTTCCCAACTTTTCCTGGAAAAATCGTAGAAAATAAGACATAGGACACATCAAGCCACAACCACTTGGCTCCCTGGTATTGTAGGGTTCTGAATGGCAATTCACAGCAGCTGATCTTCAATAGATGCATCAGGGAAAAATATCCAGATCCACCCACAAATAAATCTGGGTCAAACTATTTATTCAGAGGAAATATTTTAGACAAGTGACGGACATAAAGCTAACAAATACAGTATAAATATTTTACTGCAGAGTCTTATGTAATGTATTGAAAGCATGCAAACACAAATGTCAAGAAAACAAAGTTTTACTCTGACTCGATGGCCAAGATGTATAGTTTAACATAGTGATGAATGTTGGTAAATGATTCTCAATTTTCATCTCTCTTCACCAAGAATCACTCTTAAAGCCAGTAACGATTGGCTTGGTCCTGCAGGGAAATCTTCCCTAAATGCTGCACTGGGCAGCAAATGGTAACTTAATCTGTCTCTGGAAGTCCAGCAAATCCCTGTGTTATTAAAGGAGGTAGCGCTAACAATTTGTAGATTGTAGGACATGTCCAAAGCATTG